AAAACGTCAGCTTCTGCCGGCAAATGCAGCCGAGCGTTCGTTTCAAAGCGTGCGCCCGATGAGGCTCCAATAAAAATTGATCTTGCAAAGCAGAAGCATATTGAGGCGCTATGCATACACCACTAACGCTGATCAACAACCTGCAAGGCTGAGCGCGCGTGTGTGTGTGTGTGTGTACACGCTCTCTCGCTCAGCATACTTACAAAGCTTTGCATCATTCAATAGGTGTGCACAGACTCATTGATTCTTCATAAAATTGCAGATGAGAGAGCGAGCCGGCAGTAATCAGTGTGTACACAAGAAGGCCTGAGGCTTCGTGTGTGGGTGTGTGTGTGTGTGTGTGTGTGTGTGTGTGATGGCACAAATTGTGCTTCGATATGCTTGGCTCAAGTTTAATTCAATATGCTGAGTTCAGCAGTCAAGTGTATAAATATGTAGTGTATCACAATATCAGAGATTTAGCCGAGGAGGCGATAATATTTTTATAATAAAGTCAAAGTGTTCTCTTCTCTCACTGCAGTCAGCCATCGTTGTGGTGAACATAGTGGAGCATTCAGCAGCTTAACAGTGTGTTACTGTGAGCAGCACTTCTAGATTGTGGTATTTGTACTTCTACTGAAGGCTCCCAGTACTTCTGAACACTCGTCTTTAGGACACTGCACCTCAGTGGACGACCGTCGAGCCAGAACCTCCTTTTCAGGGCCGAGCCGGCACATATTTCTGGCTGGACTGCGTCTCGTTCCCGTGATGACAGACGCTCACCAGAGACCAGAGAGACAGATCTCACTGTGTGGCGAACCGAACCCAACATCTGAGCACAGAAACGGACCAGAGTGACTCTGGAAACTACAGACGCACACTTATAGGCCAGCAGTCCACCGAGCGTCAGTCCCCATCAGCAGTCTGTCTGAGCAGCAGCAGGCCTGTGACAGACGGGAGGACCTTCAGTGCACTGAATGACAGTAGCGTGGATGTAAACGCAGTGAAAACATGTCAGGGGGACGCTGCGTTATAATTGGTATGGCTGTGCAAAAAAAAGAATAATAAATCACTCACACAAATCTCTCCCAGACAGAAAATGCATGCTCTTAGTTTTGGAACTACAATTCCCATAATTTGGGTGTTGTGGGGCTCTGATGTCACCATGGAGTCAGTGAGTTGTAGACACAACCTCATCCAGAACTATTCTTCTCTCAAGAGATGAAAGGAAGCCGTTTAACTTCCGTTTGTTCACATTGTGGCAGATTAAAAGTGTACCGAATTAGCTATTAGCAGTTCCTGTTAGCAGCGAGCTCGTGTGTGAACACACAACATTCACTGAATGATTCTCAGGCGAGTTCTGCAGTTACACAGAGCGTCTCTTTTCTATGATTAATAAGCAGCAATAGATAGACGGGTAGGTCGCCCGATGGGTCTCGCTCCGTCTGAAAAGCTCTCTTTAGATGAATAAACAATAGTAGAATATCATGTTCTGATCCCCAACAGAGTGAGTAAGAAAGACGAGGAGAGACGGAGGGATTCACATATTCCCATCAATAACAAACACTGCATACTAACAGCATTGATGTCTGAATGACCTCTGACCCGATGCTGCGGCTGGAAGCACATTAACATGAGATCAATCACAGAGAGAAGAGCCTCTGACTGCATAAAGGTATGAACTTGACCTCTTGTAGAGTGCAAGCAGCTTCCATGTGACCTGATAACACGGGTAGCAAACATATGACACATAAACACTGCAGCCTGTACTTTAACATGTAGTCTATACTTCAGCTCAGACGTGCACCGTGCACGAGCAGAGACCACGTCGCGTTCACGGTGAAGCCTTGATCCATCGAGGCCGGAGATAAAGCCTCCTCTGACACCGCGTTTGACCTTTTTAAAGTTTCAATAAAGTGTTCATGAATAAGAAGCGAGGCCTCTTTTACCGACCACAACACTGGAATATATCTGTTGATGCACTCGTCTGGTCCAGATTTAAATATCTCTAATAAATCCAGAAGTCTTCGTAGAAAGCTGCCGTTTCTGCACACAGGATGGATTTCTGCTTTCTGACCCGGAGTGCAGACTGAATTAGAGAAACGGCTTTCGTGTTCTCAGCTGCTTCTCTGCATGAAACTGACTTCACCCCAGAGCAGCTCGTCTTCCACAGCGAGGACAGAAAGAGATAATGGAGGACGTTGGTCTCAAAGGGAAGCCGTCTGTCTGAGCTTTGTTTAAAGATGCAGTTTGTTATATAACCGCATGAGCCTTCACAATGGATGTAGATTAAGAAACGGCTGATTTGAATCAGATTTCATGCATTGATCTGTAAAAGTCTTTATATCGTCTGCACAAGAACCTGGACTTTGACAATCAGAGACTCAATGAAATGTTTATGGCAATTAAATCACTGATGGTAAAGCACAGCGCTCATCAATGACCGGTTATGGAGGAATAACTGTATTGTGATGATACTGCAGCAATCGTTACAACTGCAGAGACTTGGTGCGTGTTAACAAGCAGGAACAAGGACAGAATATTAATTATGCATCTTCTCCTTTAATTGTTTGGTTTGTAAAATATCAGAAAAGTGTCCTAGTTCGTTTCGTCTGAGCAGCAGTCCAGACTATTCCATGAGCTCGAATGTAATACAAGGAAAAGCAGGAAGGAGAGAACCATGAAGTTATTGGTATTTGTGCTTCGAAACTGGTTTAAAGGATTCAATTCTTGTCAAAATATTCGGCTCTGGACACTTTTATTATTGTTTGGTATTAAGGCGCCGTGGCCTGGAGCGCATCAGGCGCAGCAGCACACTTCTGTTATTTGGTCTGTGTTGGTAGTCCAATAACATCTCCACCAACTATGATATTGGCAACAACCGGGGGAATAAAGTAGCCCTCGAGTCTAACCTCGACAAGCTGCAAGTGTTTGCTCTCGTAAGGAAGAAAAAAAAAATGGCCGCCTTTATCTGTGCACTGATTAGCAGCGAGGGTTTGTTGTGGAGCATTAAGGGGTCCACAGCAAATGTGTGCCAATTCATTTCCTCAAGGTCTGCTGCGAGAGAGAGAGAGAGAGAGAGAGAGAGAGAGAGAGAGAGAGAGAGAGAAACACAAACTCCTCCTCCGGTACGGTCCACACGTGGAGAGATTACATCTTTTATTTATCACTTCTTGGCTCTATTTTTCCAGCAAATTCCAGGCTGGGGTGCAATCAGCCAAGAAAGAAACCCTCCCTCTGTGTGTGTGTGTGTGTGTGTGTGTGTGTGTGCGTTGAGAGTGTGTATTCCCAGTGGCCCTTCACAAAGCCCACATGCATTTGGGTGGGAGGGCGTGTCATGCAGTCACTCAAGTGTTCAGATTGCATTACGACTCAAATTAACCATGCAGCGTAATGGGATTACAGCCCTCAACGCTCCCTGAGAAGGTGTCCCTGAGTCTGGTCAGCTCACAGGTGACAGACACACTCGCAGACCTCCGGGCTGAAGCATGCATTGATAATAAAACGCTGCCAACTGAAAACTATCCCTTCAACTCAACTCAACACCGCGACGGCTGCAGCCAAAGCCCTCACCGCCGCTGATTACACACAAACGCGAACCAATTGGCTGCAAACTGGTGTGAATCACGGCCCGTTTAAAAGAACCGTTGTGCTCAATACGCTTCCTCCTTTCCAAATCTCCTCTGCGTAACAAGGGAGTGAAAAGATGCTTTTGTTTGCCTTTCCCTTTTTGGAGGCGACAGGAAGCTTGAAAGACACAAATGAACATGAAAATAGGGACAAAGTGACAAAGTGACAAAGGGAACGCTGGGCATCTGATATGTGCGCTGGGTCATTTAAATCTCAAAGGAGAGCCCGGGAACATGAACTTACCAAATATATGGATGTGAAACCAAATGGTACAGTTGTTGATTGTGTTGTTGGTGGAGCAGAGTTGCAGCTGTAGGTTCAGTTCAGCACACACACACACACACACACACACACACACACACACACGTGTCTGTTCCTGTTTCACTCCTCTCGGTGGGTTTTAAACAAACCGACGTGCGGCAACTGGAAAGAGCGCGTTGACTGGTTATTCTCTGCATTCCAGTAATAGCACGCCGTAGATGCTCTCCGTCTAAATATACACCGGCGATAATGTGAGGCTGCATATTTCACTCAGTCATTTATTAGCTGCACGTGTCTGCTGATCAAACAGCTATGTGAGCCCACAAAGACACAACGTGCATAAACAAGAACTGTGCCACGCTCAGAACAACTCATTCAAATGCAATGTGTGTCAGTTGACACCCAACCCAGCACTTCCCTTATTACCCAATACTTCATGTAATCGTATGTTAAAAAAAGATATGTTTCTGAAGAGCAAAAGCATAACCTGATGTGATCACATAGCAAGAAATAGTGATATTAAAGCATGTAAAAGAGCATTAATGCCCAAATGTTTCCACGTAAGCTCAAGTAATTCAACATAGTGAATATATTCATCACTTTTAGGGGATTTCTGGCTGCCAGTCTCATGACTTCACCCCAAAACCAGCTTCAATAATCTGACTTTTGTGTCTCACATTAGCCTAATTCACTAACACCTCTGAAAACATTAGATATGGTTATTTATTCTCATTCTGGGGAAGTTTCTCAATGAAGTCTGGTGGTGTTGAGATGTGAAAACATGTGAGGATTTCTTTTGTTGAAGCCACAGCTTGATTTTCAACGCAATTAAAAGGATTTTTTTTTTTTGGGAGGCTTTGTACCCAACATTTTACATTTCAAACTGGCCCCCGAGCACAACGGGATTTAAATGCCCCAGTCACACATTCCCATTCATGCACACAGCAGATTTAAAGCCCCATTGTGGGCTCTCTCTCTTTTCACCCTTTTGTTGTCAAACCCCCGGTCACTTCATGCACCTTCATCACTCCATATTCAATCCTAAATGTGAGTCCCGTTGTTTGTTTTCTGGGTGGGTTAAATTGTCACAAAGAGGGTTATATTTGCCCGGTTCCATCGCATCCACTCACCGACTTGCAGTACGTTGTCCACGCAGCCGCTCTCCAGCAGAGCGATGCCTCGTCGGAAGGGCAGCCGCGTTTCGTCGCCGCTCTCCCCGCCACCGCTTCCGACCTCCTCCCCGCTTCCTCCGCCGGTGTTGTTGAACGACGAGTACATGCAGATCTCCCGCTCGCTCCTCGGGAACGACCAGTACACGATGCGCCTCTGCACGGGCTCCGGGATCCGCTCGAAGCGCTCCTCCACCCGCTGGAACGGCCACTTCTCCGCGACTCTGCGCGCCGCGATGTCCAGCAGGGTCTCCGGGTTCTGGGTTGTTTTGCTCGATGATTCTCCGCCGTGCGAGGCTCCGGAGCCGCCGCCGCCGCCTCCGACGCACGGAGCCCCCAAGGCCCGCTGGCCTTGCCGACACGCCGCGTTGTATCTACAGCAGAGCCGCTTGGCTGGAGGCTGCTGCTGCTGCTGGACGCGCTCCGCCATGATAGCTCCGCTTTAAACGGGCAGACGGAGGAAGTATGAACGCACCGTATGAGAAGAGGTTACACACGGCTTGCTTGTTGGCCGTGTATGGCCAAATCATCCTTTTAAGGAAACATGGGGGCGGGGCTTCTCCGAGCTTTGTCAAACCCCTTTGTTGACAAATGAAGAAGAGAAGGCGGGGTCTGTCCGGTTAGCTCGATGCTGCAAAAAAAAAAAGAAAAAGGACCGGATGGCGGAATTCCCGCACGGCCGTTAATCCTTTTGTGAGCTTTGATAAAGCTTTAAAAGCGGTGGATACAAAACCACCGACTCTACTGCCGATACACGGGCATTACAACCGGAGAGAGACGCGGTGCTGCTTCGTGTGGCGGCGGTGAGCTGCAGGAAAGCCGGACTGAACGCGGTGATCGCGGGCCTGTCAACACCGGAGCCTCGTGGTTTTGGGGGAGGGGGTCATTGAACGCAGCACCGCCCCCACGTGTGTGTGACGTTTAAAGGTCCACTGGAATGTGGGGCCGTTTAAAGAGACACAACTCGCTATAAATATATAGTGATGGGAGAAGAATACTATTACTGTAGTAGAAGTAGTAATACTGCTACTAGCAAGTATAAATGTTTAGTTTTAGCTTAGTTTATTTATTTCTGTATATATACTATTTTAGTTATTGTGGATTTTTTACATATTTAATAATCTTTACTGTTTTATTACTTATTTATAATACTTGTTTTGATCTTAGTTTTTTTACTATGTCTCTTGTTTGCACTATACTTTATATATATATATATATATATATATATATATATATATATATACACACTCCACTATGCTGCTGTAATCCTGTAAATTTCCCCACTGCTGGACTAATAAAAGATTATCTTATCTTATCTTAAACAATAAAATAAACAATAAATAAATATCACAGTGCAGGAAGAGGCAAAAAGCCAACTGGGCTTATTTGAAGCCTCCACCTATATAATATTAATATGTTTACAATATTACAGAAGATGTTTTTACAAGATATGAAATATAACAATATCAATACATTACAAAAAGAAAGAAAATGTATTTTCATTATTCTGAACATGGTAAAGACCTGCTTTGTGTCTCACACACACAACCGTTCAACCACAGGCGTTTTTACACTCAACCCATTGTTTTCAATTGTAGTGCATTCAGGAACCAGTTTACACCTGAGGGGTCCAGGTAAAATGCAATCAAACCAGCGGGTAAAACACAAATCCAGAAGGCTGGGCCCCGAAGGGCAACTGGGCAACAACAACATGACCATTATCCCCAGTGAACTCTGTCCAGTTGGCCCCGGGGCGAGAACGCTCATGTAGAAGTAATCAGGATCAGAGAAACAATTACAAGCCCTTTATTGTGTATTGTATTATCAGTGACTGAGGACATTCACGCTGCACAGCTGTACTTTAGTACAATTGCAAGGTACTTGAGTTATTGAGCTACTTGAGCTATTTTCATTTTCTGCTTCTCTATTACATATAGTCAGCTACAATTCAGAGGGAATAATACTTTTCACTCCATTATATTTATTTAACAGTTATAGGATTCAAGGATGATGTATTGTCATTATATAACAGAGAGACGCACAACGACATATAGTTAAAGGACATTTACAACACAAGAAAAACACGACAAAACTAATTAAAACAGTAGTGCGTTCCTGAAGTGCATTTTTTGAGTTTGCATCAGGAGGAATGTAATCGAAAGTGAGTAGTTAGATTACACATTAAAAATATGTAAACAGTAAAAGTATGTATCAGCAGAATTTACTGAAAGTATTAAAAGTACTCATTGTGTATATGTATCATTCAAATATGTACCTCTGAGGTGTAGTACAGTAAAAAGTACAATATTTACCTCTGAGCTGTAGTACAGTAAAAAGTACAATATTTACCTCTGAGATGTAGTACAGTAAAAAGTACAATATGTACCTCTGAGGTGTAGTACAG